AGTGAATTGTCAATACCTAATTCCTTTATCAAGCAGTTTATGTAATGTGATTTATACATCCATTCAGTTTTTCAAATCTAATTTGTGTCAACTTCCTCACAGCCTTAACAATTCGGAAAGAGTATATACGTCTTCTTGATCGCGTTTAGCCCATTGCCTGGCATAATCTTCGACTGAATCCATCAGTATTTATAAGTTGTGTTTCCAATTGATGGATTTAGGCTCACGATATTTCGGACCTTTGAAAAACACATTTCACAGGGAAGTGTTATTGAAAATGATCAGGTCTCCAGAAATAACGTGGCCAGCCGGATTATATATGAATGAGCTAGAACAGGTGCAATCAAGAGGGTTAATCTTGAAGTCGCCAATATTGAGATCCTGCAACATGTGTTTGTAATTGAAACTTTTAGTTGCAATTGTTTTGTAAAGGTATAAGAGATGATAGGTATAGACTGATCTTTAAAGTAGAGAGTAACAATTTATGACTAAAATCAGCAAAGACCCAACGAAACAACATCTGATACAAAAATTTAATAATAATTTTAGATATTTGGATGATATATTGGCTCTCAATAATGACGACTTCATTATGTACACTAAAGAGATTTATCCTGCTGAACTGACTTTAAATAAAGCTAATACTAACAATGAACACTGCCCTTTTACTGGATCTTGATATCTATATCTTTAACAGGAAGCTTAATACCAATTTACGATAAAAGAGATGATTTTTCATTTCCTATTGTTAATTATTCATTTTTAGATGGTGACGATCCCTTGACGCCATCTTGTGGTGTTTATATATCTCAACTTGTTCGATTAGCTCGTGTATGTAACAACGTTTTTGATTTTAACGAAACAAATCTCTGTATTACTGAAAAATTATCACACCAGGGTTTTCGATATCACAAACTAATCAAAACATTTACTTAACTTTATCATCGGTACAAGGACAGCATTCGTAAATATAAATCAACATACAGACATCGTATACGTTCAGGTATTTCACATCCAATATGGTATGGTAATATTTTATACAAAGCACAAAAATGTCGTGATTCACCTCAAAAGCTAACCAAACCTTTAAACAGACTTATTCAGAAGGGATATAGGTACGATACTGTTGTCAGGTCATTAAAGATGGCATATTTTGGAATGTTTCAGAGTTTAGTGTGACGTCCATTTTCACTGAACTCATTTGTGTTTAGGGGCCAGCTGAAGCCCGCCTCCGGGTGCGGGATTTTCATCGCTGTGTTGAAGACCCATTGGTGGCCTTGGTCTATTTTCTGCTCTTTGGTCGGGTTGTTGTCTCTTTGACACATTGCCCATTTCTATTCTCAATTTTATTAGGTATGTTTGAGTGAACTGGTTAATGATGAAGAATATTGCCTAAGTTGATGGCATCGATACCTTTGTTGGCAAAGACAAGTTTCAGAAAGGATCTCTTCCCCTTTTAATCTTTTCCAATGCGAACCGATCTGAAAAGTCAGTGACTGGCAAAAGAAGTTGATAGCTGAATTTTGTATTGATTTGAATGGAGGTAACCTGGGTTTGTAACAGTGATTTCCAAACATAAGTGGTACATAGAATGAAGTTTAGAATGCGGTAGCGAATAAAGATTCTTGCGAATGTGATGAATACCCTACGGCTTTTATAAAAATCATCATAAACTGAAAAAATCAATCAAAATCAAAATCAAAGTTGACCGGTAGCAAATCTTATATTGTTTTCAGATACAAATTATGGATGTCAATCTGGGCAAAATTTTACTAAATTAAATTTTGCATTAGCGTAGTGAAATCGTCTTCAACGAATACCTTTAGCACTCAATGACAATTTTATTTTACATATGAATATAAAACTAATGTCAATCGTTTCAAAGTAAATCATCAGACTCTAGTTTTCAAAAATATGTAGGTTACAAATACCCCTTTTCGATCCTTTAGGTGAAACAAATTCAGAACAAATTGGCAATGACTTGTTTATTTAAGAATGTGTTTTGAAAAATAAATGCTGATGAAGGCTTTAGAAAAAAAATTACCATTGAGACATTGATTTTTTTAAAGTTATACAATGTGATCATTATCCTTAACAATATTGTCATTCTTATGACCTCTTCTCATGGCATATATAATGTTAGGTGTTCTCCATAATTATTCAGTTTGCCTTCGGATTATGCAAATATGTAAATGTTATTATCAAACTTGTCAAATACAGGAAGAACACCAAGCAAAACAATGTAAACATATAATACTGATTTCAATGCGCATGATATGTTTTTCGAAAAAGCTCGGTCAATCGTAAGTAATCAGCCATTCACGCTACATCTATAATCGTAGCTAGCGAGAATGGCCGAGTTATTACCCTTATCGGTGATCCCACTGTTTGTATCACTCTGCTCAGCTTTTCATAAAATTTCATACCACGGCTTTGATACGTCAAATTCATTAACCCAGCCTAAATAACATTGACCCGGACATATCACCGACGTCATAATGAATGAATCAAGTCATTTTCCGGTTTGCTGGTGTAACAAAGAAAACACGTGTTTCTATCACGCAAAATACACATATACAATCCGATAAATCAATTATCAGATTTTCATCAAATCTATACTGTAAAATGTCAGCTGCTCGAGACAATATGAACGTTTTTCGAATGTTGTTGCAGAGTTTTGTACATATTAAGCTCTGACGACCGTGCCACAAGGCTGTATAAATTATGAATATATTTATTTCGGTTGATAAATAATGTAATTTGAGTTGTGTTGAAATTAGAAATTAACTTAAAGCTTTTTTTAACTTAATAAAGAATTGGGAACCAAACATTATTTTTTTCACATATCATGTGCAAAATGGAAGTTGTAACTTATGAGAAAAAATAGTAAACCTACTATAGTATGAAATATAGTACTTATACCTTCCGTTCTTACGTCAAAGAGTATAACTTGGATATCATTTCAAAATTCAAAACATATTTAACCTCTTTATCTATCATATATATATTCATTTTTCATTCTTTAAAGTAAATTACATTGATCTCCTCATATGATAATAAAATTAAAATAAAACATATATCAAAATACCATTTGGAAACATTAAAGATATTATTACATTATCTTAAATTATTTTAGACCGTGCTAGATCCTCTTGGATAGTCAAGGTCGTTATATATGGTCGTCAGTTCGTGTGTTGGAGTCAACGGAATTTAGTTTTATTGCTGCCATTTTGATACGTAATCACAACGACTAACTAATGATGCCACAACGTTGTGACAACGTTGATTCGTTTGCTGGGAACGACTGATACTCCGCACCGAAAGTCTAATATCATATAGGATCAAAATGTAACTAAAGGAGTATAGATATAACAGCTAAAGTATGTCTTATGAAAAAAATATACATAGATAAGATACAAACACAAAACGCATTGGTTTAGTTTCTATTACGCTTATTGATACGGGGCTTAATTGATTACCGTATTTTATTGATAGTTTTGGGCGTTTAAGAAACTTATGAAACCTTCAATACATAAATATATATGTTGTCAATGGGTGATAAATGGCTTAATTTTAAACAATCAACACAGGGAAAAGGAATATTATTCTTAAGTTTGAAAAGTTTATTCATCTTTTAGGGGATTTGTGACATATTATCTGATAAATTACTTAATTGAAAAAATGTCATCACCGGTTGTCGATATTTCTGTAAACAGATTTTCAATACATAAAGTGTGATGAGATGTAAAACTGCCATATGACCATTAAGATAGATGTATTTCTATATGTAGTGTCGTTGCCTTTTCATCCATGAAGGTGGAGAATTGTACAGTTTAAAGGGGCACTAGCTACGAAATACATAAAAAATCTAAAATATGGTTTGTTTTGTTCAATCGTTAACGATGGTGAAATAGTAATTCGCTTTTAGCAGCTAATCTGGTTCAAATAAGATAAGAAACATTGATGATGAATTATTCACTTGCAAGTGATCAATTCGACCTCATTGAGCTCGTATTAATGTGAACTTCAATTTAACCCTTAGATAGAGCTGGATAACGCATGAATTGTGTGTGTTAAGTTATTTAAAGGAAAATAATGTCAACATTGAAAGTGAAACAAAGATAAATCATTTGATTGACTGATTCGATCCACAAAAAAAAACATTCTTAAACAGGTAAAAACGATGATTAACATATATTTTTAATCTATAACATGAAATTAACCAGACCTAGAAAAATCCAATTACACGAGTTGGCTTTCTATTTACATCTATATTTATGTTTATATCTCTTATATGACCATCGGAGGTCTTCGGAGGTCAACTCGATAGTTAATTAGATGGCATCTAGACTAAAATACACACGAAACGAAGCTTCATATTATCAAGCCCATACCTGGTAAATTGTTTATTTTAGACTTTTTATAATTTGGATAAATGTTTTACTTTGTTATAAATCAAATATCAGAATTTGAGTCAAATCGGTGAACATGAATTTGACAGCTAGTGCCCCTTTAACAACTATAAGACATTTTAAAACTCATTATTGTACATACAAAAATACATTTTGACGTAAAGATGTTAATGACAACAAATGCTGGAAGAACGTCAAAACAACAGCAACCTACTAATAGAGATTAACGAAAATATACATCTGATCGATCGGTAAACTTCTTGAGATAAATTATGTAATAATTTATGCAAGACATAGTTTAGTAGGAAATTTTCACATGGCCTGGGTCGTCATATTCGAATTTTGTAATGAGCGTTACATTACAGGTATTAAAATTAATGGAAATAAAATTTTTTTTTTTTTTAATTTCTTTTGGCATGCTGATGCCAAGGGTGGGTAACTGAAACACGCCGAAAATGTTACTAAGAAATCATTCCCGTTCGACTAAGATCGATTCCTTGCGAATGCTATACAAACGGAGAAGCTGCCATCATAATTGGTTTTGAATATAATTTTGAAGTAATATACGCCAAGGTTCCAACAGACAAGATGGGAGTGAAAAGTAAAATATCAAAAATAACAAACTTCAAGGAAAATTCAAAACGGAAAGTCCATTAACAAATGGCAAAATCAAAAGATAAATTAACATCCAGTTGCTTTTAAACAGGTCAAGCATTTCCTGCAAAATGTGCATTACACCGTTCATCCAGTTGTACGTATCAAAACCACGAACATGACAAATTATTCCGGTCACATGTCAGAATATTAAACCATAGGCATCTCGTGGGTTCGGTTTTTTTCAATTTTATTTCCTTCACATTTTCCTTGTTGAAAAGTTTATCTTTCTAATTGATCACTGTAAAATAACATTGTATTATAGTGATACATTTTTCAAAGGTGGCTAATTGAAAGTGACACAAAATCTATTGATAAATTTTATCTCGAATTTATAAATCTGAAAAAGATGGGTTGTCAACGTAGTGAATTTTGACGCTCCTTGACGACAGAATTTAATATACAGGGAAAATGTTAGCACAAATGTTTCATGGAGCCTTTTCATTGTTTTTACTAACTTTGGTTTCATTCTTTCTGCAATGTAAGTGGTTTTTATACATTTTTTAAATTAAGCAAAAATTGATCGGAAGTAAAAATTTTATTTTCCCCGATTTTGAATGCTTGTGATTTCCTGGTTTTCAGTTTATAATTCCTTTAATGTAATTTTGAAATTTACTTTAAAAAATTTCAACATCATTTTATAAATTGCATGCGTTATAAGCGCTTTTCTGACTTTTCCTTCATCAGGAACGTTCAAAACCGAACATTTGAAAGCCAACGATGTACAAGAACCGAAACAATTGAAGAGCTATAAAACCAAAAAGGACCTAGAATAATTTGAACTGTAAAATAAACGTAATCGGTTCCTCGTTAATGTCGAATACCGCGCTCTCTGCACGTTAAAAAATCTTGCATCAAGTCTCTGCGGGTCCGTAGGTGATCTGTTGCAAGGTTAAAATTTCTGTCCGTATCCTAGATGCATTTTTTTAAAGCTAGCGGCAGTTCAAATTTCCCCGCCCTTCATTCTTGTCGACCTACCTTGCAGAAAGCATTTAATGTATTGTTAATTTGTTCTCATTCTGATTATACATAAAATATTTGTCACTGGACATAAGCAAACACCAATCAATCAAGCAATCAATCATTCTGTAAACAACGTGAAATATGTGAACCACTTTTTCGAATTTAAAGAAAAAACACACAAAACAATTAGATAAAAAGATTATAGACACCTTTAAATGTATTAAATCATAGATTTCTAGAAAGCTTATCATATTTGTTTTTCGTTCATTATTTTTTACATAAATCAGGCCGTTAGTTTTTTTGTTTGAAATTTTTTTAAATTTGTTTTTTCGGGGCCTTTTATAACTGACCATGTGGTATGGATTTTCCTCATTTTTGAAGGCCGTATGGTGACCTATAGTTGTAAATTTCTATGTCATTTCTTGTGGAAAATTGTCTCATTGGCAATCATACCATATCTTCTTATTTATATATTATCTTTGATTTGATATATTTAATTATTCTGGTTTCATGTTGCTAATTCTTCTTAAAAATACACACAAAACAGAGTGGCACAACTGCAAATATGTTTTTTTTTAAATATGGTTTCTCTAATACGCTTATATTTGATACAATTAGTAAATTATTATGGTTTCATGTTTCTGTTTCTTCTTAAACAAATCAAAGTGTAAGATAAATCTCAGAATCTTAGTCGTCAGAAAAGCATAGTTAACTATAGATATTATACAAAGATGATTTTTTGCAGTATATGCTGCTGATACCTGTAAAGATAAGTTTAAAGTATTCCCTGGTCACTCAGCATGTCTTCCAAGATCACATCAAGCCAAAATTCCAGGTAAATATGATGTCATCTTCATGATAAAGTAATAAATGACAGCAAAACAAATAAGTTTCATTGGCCGTCGATGTGCCTTTAATTAATTATCTATCAAAATGATTTTAGATTTTAGATTTGTTTGGTTTTTTACATCTTATTCCTTATTTTATTATATAATCGTATTTTAGCAGAGGTAGAGAAGGGGTTATTTATGAAGTCAGTGTTGAATTGCCATTGTTTTTTAAGTAATTAGCTCCGATGCAGCATTCCCCATTTCCATTCTCAATTTTAATATAATTTGCGCCATATGAAGTATTATGTTTAAGCTCTAATTTTGGAAAATTTCACTCCTCCTTAATAGGGAATTGGAACCGTTGCACTAATAGATTAAAACACGCATGACTTACTTGACAATTTGGAAACTTTGGTAGATTTCAACTTTTGGAATCTTTTCTTGTATTTATTCTCAATGATAGTGATGTAGTGCTGACTAGTTTCATCAGTGTAAGAACGTCATAGCATTTTGAAAATAGATTAATTTTCTTAATTAAAAGAAAATGAAACAACAAAAAACAAACAAACAAACAAACGAAGAGACAGACATACATTGATGAAAAGATGCAAACAACTGTTATAATGATAATGATAATAATAAATTATTTATTTAAATAGGGTAACTCAATTAGAACTAGTCTTATTTTCATTGAGGCCCTCAAACAAAATACATGTATACAGTTAACATTCGTACATTAAAATACACACAAATATATAAATGGCAACAATTAATAAAGTTTTTTTATTCTAACCATAAAACAAAAATTATTTGACTTGCATAGAATTTTCAAGAAAATGATTGTAACAATGTTTTTTGAATAATTCCACATTAAATTTTTTTTATTGTGAATGGTAAAGTATTCCATACCTTGGTTGCAGAAAAATGAAAAGATTTTTTTATAAAAATTAGTATGTGGTCTTGGAACAAATAGATCGTTATTAGAGACAGATCGTAAGTTGTAGTGTTGAACATCATTATTAGTTAGCATTTATAAGTAATCAGGTGTTAGTGTTGTGTTATTAAAACTGATAATAGTGACAATGTTGAACTGAAATGAGTTTAAGACAGAAGAGAGGCATGGTGAAAATAATAAACTCCTTTTATTGGCGTCTTTTGTCATCAATTTGCGTTCTTCGTCCGTCTGTCCGTCGTTAGAAAATTCATAACCTTATGTGAAACCGCTCTGCAAAATTGAACCAAATTTTGCAGGAATAATGTATAATTGAGGAATGTTGTGAAATATTCTCATTTCGTTCAGATTGGATGAAAATATTGCCGCTAGAGGCAATTAATATTCTGATTGGTCAAAAATTTAATTTACTTCTACTCTGAAGCCCTAAGGCAATTTTCAACTTTATAGAATTGATGACTGGGAGACCCTTTAAAACATTTCCTCATTTCATGCTGCCAGGGTTGCATACCTGCCGGCTACAATGGCACATAGGTTTCCATGGACATTGGATGACAATATTAACTAAACTTTGTACGAATAATGTCTGGAAGGGTATCGATATAAATTTGCCATTTTGTAACGATCTGATTATAAACATGGCTTACACAAAATTCTAAATTCTTCCCCGAAACTACAATACAAAATCTTTTCAAGGTTAACAGGGATGGTGATTGGAAGGCCCTCTTCAAAATTTCTAACTTTGTGCTAATCGGATTGCATACATGGTGGTTATAATGGCACATTGGTTTCCATTGAAGCTGATGGGAAATCATATTTTCAACATCTCCTATGAAACCAGATTGCCAATATTAAAATTTTGCAGAAATAATAGAGGGTACACGTATCTTTTAACAAAATCATCATTTCATTCCGATTGAATTGAAAACATGTCGGCCAGAGGCAATTCTTCATTCTGATTGGTCAAATTTCAAATTTCTTCTCCTCTGAAACTACATTGCCAAATCTTTTAAAATTTTATAGGAATGATGATCGGGAGACTCTAAACTTTAAAACTTTGTTTTTAATAAATCCCATGTTATTCCTCGCATTTTGGTCATTTAAATAACACTGTATTTTTAAGAATAGACGGCGGCGGATTTGCAAATGAGTGTTTCGCAAATTTTAAGTGTTTTCTCTACCAAACAATCCTCACTTCGCGCTGCTTGGGTGGAATACCTGGTGGTTACCGTGGCAAATTATGATAATCTCCATGTGAGCGATTAAGGCCCCTTAAAGCCTCCAGTTTAAGTTGATATCACATAATCGCATTACCTTATGTCGATTATTACATCAGATGTTAAGTCTGTTGATAAACAGTTACCGACTTTTTCGGGCTGAAGAAACGCAAGTAAAAAATTATTCAACTATCTATTTTAAGTATTGTGTGATTTTCAACCTTAGAAATCCTTCCCAATTGTAGAAGAAATTTATTACTTGCAAAACTGACAAAATAATGCCTGCATAAGGACCTGATGGATATCTAGGGTTGTTTTCCCAATGTAATGAAAAGAGGAGATAAAGCACGACAAATGTCCGGATACATATAATGAAAATTATTTAAGTTTATTTTACAGATTTGAAGATTTAAAGATTCAAATGCAAATTCCTTGGCAAATTATAATATCTAAAGATTTTACTACAAATTCCATTACAGAATTTAAGATCTGACAGTTCACGTCCAAATCAGATTGATAAATATCAAAGTTTGACCATCTATTATAGAGAAGGGGTGTTCATAGTTATTTCTTTGTCCTTCATTTCATGTTGCCTCATATGCATCCGCCATTTTTTACCTATAAGGGTCTCATAATAAATAAATAAAATTCATGCTTATATTTCTAAATTGCAATTGAATAGGTCCTGTTGACAAAAATGATGTTTTGGCTATTCATAATAAGTATAGACAGAAAACAGCGAAGCAATATAATGCAAAAAACATATTGAAGATGATGTGGAATGATGAAGTTGCTATGGTTGCACAGAAATGGGCAGAAAATTGTGTTGGCGTTCATGATAAGAATTATCAGCGATTGATACCAGGTATTTACAATGATGTTTTTAATTTTATGCAGATAATGCTTATTGTTTTGAATCACTTTTGATTGCCCATGAAGCAGAAGCTTTTTGTATGTTGGTTTATAGTATAGTTTATCACGATTTAAATTTATGTGTATAATTATATATGTCATTTTTATTCATTTTGTTTACTTTTGCTATAGTATTATAGCTTTAATTTCATTGTTTAATTTGAGGTTTCATAATTTGCATTACTTGGTAATCAAATTCCAAAGCAGTTTTACTTGGTTGTATCAGATAATAAATGAAATCAACACTTAAAATTTCATGCGTCCGAAGCGTTTTTCTGGATTTATCTTCATCGAGAACGGTTAAAGCCGAATATTTGAAAGCCAAGGAAGTATAAGAGCCGAAACAGTTGAAGAGCTATATGACCAAAAGGACCTAAAATAATATACAAATCTATCTAAGGTCAACTTTGCCTGAGAGAGGTGAAACCATAGTTTCTTAATGATTTCAAAATTTATATGTATCAAGTGATAAATTAAAATTTTGACTTTCAGGAAGATTTCCAGTAGGTCAGAATGTTGCAAGTTCGAAAACGGAAATATTATGGGAAACTGTTGTACAGTTGTTTTATAATGAATCGAAGGATTTCAATTTTGGTAAAGAGAATAATATGCTAGAAAAGGTTGGCCATTTTACCCAGGTAAAATTATTTATATTAATTCTACATTGAAATAAATTCGAAAAACTATATTAGTTCATCCAAGTTATTATTTTGGGGGTTTTTTTTATTTTATTTTTTTTAAGTGGGGGAGAGTGGAAGGGTTGTTTAGTTCATTATTATTATTATAAAGTATAATGATTTGAAAATTGTTGTTTGTCGTTTAACCTCTTCTTTTTGTCATGGAATTGTCCGTTATTCAATCCATGATTTTGTTTGTCTCGTGGTATCTTGTTCTTGTATCTTTCTCAAACATTTCATGAATCTTCTTTATACATACGTTATGTAAAGGCTAACATCATTTCATTTCAAAGATACTATACCTTTAACGAAATCTTCTGTAATATGTCTATAATACGTTTATATATTGTAAGATTAAAACTTTTTAAATTATTCTTGCTGAATTGAAAATAAATAAAAGATAAAGACATGTTTTGGATTTTTTCAGTTGGCTTGGTTTGATTCTTACATTCTTGGTTGCGGATACGCTATTTGCAATGGATATCATTTCTATGTATGCAACTATGCACCAAGGTAAACAATATTTATCAATATTTAATATTCCATAGGTGACATTTGCATGTAAGTATCTAAGTGAAAATAATGATTTATAACAGAAGTACTCGAAACACACAATTGCTTAAGATAACGCTGCATATTGACAACAACAACAATTGTATTACAAGAAAAGTAAATAAAAACTTAATACATCGAAATTAAAACAAATTAAAAAAATAAGTAGAATTTTTCGCACTCGTGTTTTTTAACAGTACTGTTTTATCTTAGATTAAACTTGAGACATAAAATGAAGACAGGATACTTTGCAAAGATATTAAAAATGATTAACATAATTTTAATGTTATTTTCCTAAAAATTTGAAAATAGAAATACATTACTAGTAATTGCTAAGGTATATATAAACATATTAAAATCTTTGATGAACGTGCTACCATTTGTTCTCATTTTTTATATCTCATATGGCATAATGTCCTTTTATTCATTAGAATGTATGTTTCATAAAAAATGTTTTGTCGAAGGAAATTTTATTGTTCTATTTTATTGCTTTCAGTGGCAATCACAAAGGCCGACTTGGATTCCCGTTTTCAACTAACGGAACAAATACGGATTTGCGTGGTAAGATTTTTTAATGGATTAATATCTATAAAAGTTATGCTACAATTTATTGATACGACAGTTGTCATAAAAATAATCTATAGATAGCAATCAGTGAAGTAAGTTTTGAAAAACAACCTTTATTTTCTAACATTATCAAGTAGGAACGACATTTGAAAAAAAAAAATCATTAACAAAAACATTTAAGAAATATGTTACTTATATTACATCTTAGTTTAGATGATCAATAAAACAAAGCAACACGGTTATAATTTTCCTTAATTTGGAATTAATTGCAGATTTGAAACAGCGATTGTGATAATATCACCCTATTTCAAAACGTTAAATGTCAGTGATATCTATTAAAATTTGTTATTAACATTGCCAGCAAGCTAGTAAGGTCTGTTGGCTTTGGTAATTTTCACGTTATTAATGACATGTGATCCTATTAATTGGTCCACCTGTCTTTCATTTATACGTTTGACTCATGCACATACACACAAACACAAACACACACACGTATCCTTAGCATCACGGATGCCTAAGTTCTTGGACCAAAAAGAAGGGGGGAAATAGATGCCGACATACAGCACAACAAAGAAACTAAGCGCCATACAATTGGGATGTTTAGCTAGCTATAAAACAAGGTATACCCACCACTTTCTACGTAAAATGCCTGTACCAAGTCAGGAATATGACAGTTGTTTTTCATTTGTTCCGTTGATTGATAAAGCCTACCGTTTGATTTTGTCAATTATTATGGACTTCCACCTTTTTTTATTTACCTTGGAGATCGGTATTTTTGTTATACTTTTCCGGTACAAAACAAGATTCCCAGAAATTATCATAATAAATATAAATTATTATAATTGAGTAATCCTACAAACTCCATAAAATGATCGAGTTCTTCTTAACGAACACTTAACATGTATTCAAATACTACCGGTGGTTTGTAAAAAAGTTGATTAAAGTTATTATATTATTTCAGATTGCAAAAAGAAACTATGCGAAGGAGGAAGTCAGCTCGATCCATTTTCATGCCAATGTCAATGTAGAAAGGATTATAATCACAATGACCTTGGTTTTTATAAATCTGCTGCAAACAATTGTAAACGTGAGTGACGTAATTCTGTTTTCAGAATTATTCTAATGATGTCTATTTTCCTCGATTTTCGATGTAAAACGTAAATATATATTATAGACAAATAATGAAAAAAAGGGGAAATTAAATGAATGTGAAAATATGCATGTATCGTAAGAAGTAAGATTTAACTGTTGATTTTGAAGAAATTGAGATACATTCTGATTGTGAGACAGAGCCATTTAATGCATTCCTTCGATGTTACAAAAATGTTGATAATAGTTGAAAATGTGAGTAATGAACATCCTGAACAAGTAAATTGACTCCCCTGAGTTCAGTTGAAAAGGAAGATACTTAGGCGCAATAAAAAAAAACATAAGTCGAAGAAAAACAAACAATATAATGGTCAAAAGAAAATCTATGCAAACAACAGTACAGAAACTCCATACAGAAAAATAGATTGAGCAACACCAAATACCGCGATTGAACGCAGATATAGTCAGATGCATGCCATGGAAAGTAATTGATAAAGCACTTTCGCATGAATCGCTTTATGTTTAAGCTGCGTCTTTTGTGTGATACATGCTTGGTGGCACGAAACAGGTCAATCTGGTAACCGATGTCCATGCGGTATAAAATTAATGTATAAAGACACCACAGGACATTTGTCTTAGCAAATAGCCGAAATATAACAAATGTAATAATAATGTAAAATGCAGCTTATATCTTGTGAAACTTTTTATCCCTTATATCTCACTTAAATAGATATGCTTGTTATATAATATTAAGATAGTATACTGACGATGAGTTAGTATACTGATGTTAATCTAGTATACCGACGGTGAGGTAGTATAACGATGGTGACGTTGTACACTGTTGATGAGGTAATAAACCGATGATTAGGTAGTATATCGATAGGAAGGAAGTATACTGATGGTGAAAGTTCATCGATGATGAAGAAATATAACGATGCCAAATTAGTATACCGACGGTGAGGTAGTATACCGATGGTGAGGTAGTATGATTTACCTATGGTATTGCTGTCTACTGATGGTGATGTAATATACTGATGGTGAGTTAATTTACCAATGATGAAGAAGAAATTCGTTGGTCAGGTAGTATTCCGTAGTAACGTCGTATACCAATTGTGAGGTAGTATACCGATTGTGAGGTAGTAAACCGATGGTAATGTAGTATACTGACGGTGAAATGATATAACGATGGTAATGAAGTATACCGATGGTAACGTAGAATACTGATGGTTAGGTAGTATACTGAAGGTGAGACAGTATACCGATGGTAATGTAGTATACCGACAGTGAGGAAGTCAGGAACGCTTGAACATAGAAATGTGAACTATGTAAAAATATTTGAATACTAGTCATCGAGAAGCTTTATGAACAAATGGGACCTTAAACAGAACAGCAAAAATTATCGAAGGTCAATAAATATGGAAGTGAGATATCAAGTAAAAAGTAAAATTACAAAAATACCGAACTCCGAGGAAAATTCTAAACGGAAAGTCACTAAGTAAATGGCAAATTCAAAAGCTCAAACACATCAAACGAATGGATAACAACTGTCATATTCCTGACTTGGTACAGGCATTTTCTTATGTAGAAAATGGTGGATTAAACCTGGTAAATGACATGACTAAGTATTTTGTTAGATTTAGTAAAGGGTTTTTCTTCGATCCTGATTTTCTACTACAAGCCTCTGACAAACAGGTGATTCTGACCGATTTATATTAGTAGACATATATGATCTATTTCAGAGCATAAATGTCACTTTTTATTTAATTAATACCAAAAGCGAAAGATCTATCAACGAAGACCGAATTAGAACATCTTTGTTTTAGAGAGTTACAACAAAATGAATACATTACTTATAAATTGAAATTTTACATTAAATGAAATATATCATAGAGATACCGAATCTGTATGCTAATACCCGCTTGACCAGACGGCTATTTCTATAGCAATGATAGTAATTTGATACCGAATTCAGGGACGCTGGAGGTCAAAATATGAAATAAAAAAAAATATCAAATGTTTCGAGAGCATTTGAAATATTTGGGCCATAACAAAACAGTCAAGCTGTCTGAAGTTTTTTCATTTTTAGTTCTAGTAGAAATCCATAATTTATAAAATAGATTTATTATTGAAATCATGCCAGTAAAAAAGCGCTAAAATACAGTTTACTTTTAATCAACCCTTTTAAGGTGTTGGGTGTTGACTTGAAATCGAATTCATATATATATATATATATATATATAAATAAATATACATATATAAGTACGTCTAAACCAGTGACAACTCTACAACAGATTTATCCATCGGATCACCAGCAGTGATGGTGATACATGGCTGTGTACATTCTGTATTTACAACTCGTCTAAACATCAGCCCAACAATGTTAGATCTGTAAATTTGCTTTCGCAAATTTTTGTTCTTCCCTCGCCGGGATTCGAACTCATGCTACTGAGATATCGTGAAAAAAATATATATATATATATATTGTAATCAAATGAATTTCAGTGACATGCAAAGAAGACAAGAAGGAAAAATTCTTCTGTGGAAATAGTGGTTATGGAGAAAGAAGTTGTCTAACCTTGTCAAACATGCCATTTGATTGTCCATACACCTGCCGCGTGTGTCCCTGTAAGTATGTGGAGGATTTTACTTTTCCTTCCCCACACATACATTTCATAGCAAAACAAGTTTTTGATGGTTGATTGTTAAAAATTTTGTTTCTTTCTGTTGTTGTTTGACTTTTCATTTGCTTTTAGTACTATTGAATACTAGGATTGTCTTGAGCTTGTACAAACATAAGGCCAGAGTCTTGATCTTGTCTTAACACCTATCCCTTAGTTCTCAATTTAATAAATGACAAATGATAAATAATTTGATATACTAGTAGTATGTAAATTGACTAAAATGGTAGTGACCGAACAATCTGTCGACTGCAAGATCAGATTATCAAGGAGACCAATACACCTTAAGGCAATCGAAGTTAAGCAAGATGATACTTATTGATATTTTGATAGAATTTTTTTATTTTTTATTTTTCAGATTCTGATGGGGAAAACTATAGAGAAGGCAATACACCTGTAGTTATGTTGGGTTCCAGTGATGCAGCCGCATGTAGAAGCAATCTGCTTAGTTTGGCACCATTGTTTTATCTATATTCCAAGGCCTATTAACTTTTTCTTGGTCATGTTCCGGTAGATCTCTGTTTCATCCGTTTGATTTTTTTTCTTTTTACTTTTTCTGTGAGATCACATTTATAAGAAGGTCCAATCTGTACGTAATCTCATCATAGTAATAACGAATAAAGGTAACGTTGTAGTTACGACCTAGTTAGAAACTCTTGATTATGATCTGTAACTTGGGTAGATGTGCGGTGCTTGTGTTATTGTTAGGAACAAAATATTGAATTATTTATTTTTGCAGAATGGATATTCTGTAAACCTATACCTTATATTAAGCTATAAAAAGCCCCGACATTGCAACATTAGAAACAATTCAAATAAGGAAACCAACTTCCCTTATGGCATGCGTCATGATAAGCCAAAAAAAATCCTGTAAAATAGCTCATTAAGAATAAAAGGATTATAGAATTGTGCATTCGAAGAAGAAAAAAGAAACATAATAGCTTAAGCTGAAAAATATACAGTATATCTGTATGATATAAGTTCAATACTTAAAAAATTAATCCAACGCATGGCAGTGTGCCTGTCATAAGTTGAAAACCTCGTTTGTTGTTGTTTAAGTTTATATTAGGTTTTTTACTTTCAGACAAAATTCGTTCTTGTTATAATTCTTAGCATTTTCTGTTAAATTTATTCAGATCGTTACTGCACTCGAAGGACGAAAAGCTTCCGCATACGATCTAGGCATTTGCCTATTATTGAAAACCATTATCGAAACCATATATTGACAACTCATTATATTTTTGAGGATTATTGGATAGAGTCGTTACAGACTCATCCCAAATCTCCGTTAAATTACAATGGTGATAAAAATGAGGAGACAAATTCAGGTAACCTAAGGTTTGTCAAATTGATTAATACGATCTATTAAAGTCGACATTTGGATCGAAATAATTTCGAAGAATTGTGACCAATTAGATATGTTCGACTGTACGACGTTTATGTGCATTAAGAGTAAGAACTCAACATTATTTCGTTGATGTCTTAACTATATTTGTAAATGTAACCATATAATTGATAAAGCATTTCATAAAGTTAGAGAAGTTAGGATACTACCAATAAAGTTTGTCAAAAGAATTGACTGCATTGTCTGTCTTCATCTTGAAGAACAATAAACGAACTCGGAAGGATTATTGAAAATGTATTATACAAGATCAATTTGGGAATATATACGTAGTATTAAGGGCAACGCTCTTAAAAAATTTAAAAATTTAAATAAATTCATGTTGTATTTTTGAGCAGGATAAAGGTATATAAAAAAATGCTTATCAAAGACACCAGGTTTATAATTTTGTACGCCAGATTCGCGTAAAATTTTTTTTTAGAAGTTTGAATGAATTGATGTTTGATTTTTCGGCAGATAAAGGTATATAAAAAATCCTATCAAAGACGCCAGGCTTATAATTCTGTACGCCAGATACGCGTTTTGTCTTCAAAAAACGCATCAGTGACGCTCGAATAAAAAAAGTTTCAAAAAAAGCCAAATAAAGTACGAAGATGAAGCGCATTGAGGATCAAAATTTCCGAAAGGTTTGCCAAATGCATGTAAGGTAATCTATTCCAGGGTAGACAATCCTTAGTTTTTTTTAACTATTCAAAGTTTTGTAAACAGTTAATTTATAAATATTACCATATCAACGTTAATTCATGTCAACACAGAAGTGCTGACCACTGGGCTGGTGATACCCTCGGAGAGGAATCTCTACCAGCAGCTTCTAATCGGAAAACATATTTTTTTAATTACTTATCTATAAATCTAGCTGCAACTAGAACAAATAAGAAACTTAAGTTACATATTAAGTATAAGGACATGTGATGTTATGGCCAAAGGGACAATTATCCACCAGAGTCTTAATAGCGTGGATTCCAGCAACTGTATGTCACCGTACGGCATTCAACAATGGGCAAAACTCATGACGTATATTCAGCTGTAAAACGTCCCAACATGACAATATGTGCAACAATTCAATGAAAAGGTCCGCCGCCTGATTTATCACAAAACAATCAACGAAAAACAAATATAACAGATAGCAACTGCCACTGAATTACAGACTTCCAACTTGGGACACATGAAATAAACAGCGTGATGTTTTTATTTTTTACAGCACTGGATCGATACCTCTGCTGGTGGACTATCAGTCCCCGAGGGTATCATCAGCTCAGTATTCAGTACTTCAGTACTGGCATGATTTATAACAAACCTTTTTAAAACTGTCCGTTTATAAATTTAAAAATTATAAAGAAACTAAGGTTTCAACTCCCTCAGGCAAAGTTGACCTTAGATGGATTTGGCTATTTTTTTAGGTCCTTTTTGGTCATATAACTCTTCAAGTGTTTTGTTCTTATACATCCTTGGCTTTCAAATATTCGTTTTTGAGCGTTCCTGGTGAAGGTAAATCCAGAAAAGCGCTTCGGACAAATGAACTTAATAACGTATGGTTTTCATTTTTTTAGAGTGTTTCGGTGTTCTTTGACTAGATCACACATTTAAAAAAATAACAAAACGAAGTTCATTCAATCAAAATGTTCCAGGTAAAGAGGTAAAGATTGTATTAGCTGCATTGAGACACACCACATCGTATCGGTCAACACATTCGTGATAATGACGTATAATCAAACTCATAAACATATGCAGTGTCGATTTCAATCGTTTCTCTTCACAAAAGAGGCGGAAGATACAAGAAATGAAAACAACACTTTATAAATTTTAAATGCCCGATTGGTTTTTTTTAATTATCTTCATTGTGAACGCTCAAAACCGAATATTTTAAAGCCAGTTGAAGAGCTACTACATATCTGAGAAACAGGCAATATGTGCCCCAATTTTAGAATTCATTCATACAGATTTGTATTATTCAAAATCATCAGTCAATATGTGTTCTATAAGGAACACCAGTCCTTATCCTTTCATTTGATACCTTAATTACATATATATTCTACATAGTTTGATATTTACACATTCCGTAGGATGTATTTTGTTTTTAATATGTACTACTTTCCAGAATGTTCTTTTTTGAGCGGGCCCGATTTGGTGGTGTTACATCTTACAAAGTCTATCCGAATTATTTTTGCAAAGAATTCCGCTCAAACCGGTGCTAGGGACCGACTTAAACTTGCAGTTATGTGAGGGTTTTTTGCTTTTTTTTTGAAGGCCTCACTACGACTTTGTGATGAAGAACAGCAATAAAAGCGCTGATCCTTTGCTTTTTGTTTTGTTTTTTTTTTTTTTTTTTTGCTGTGCATTTACCAATTTTGTGTGATCGATGGATACCCCTGGCATATCCTTTGTCTTTCTATTATATGACCAAAATGGACCTAACAATAAAAGGCATATCCATCTTAGGTCAACTTTGCCTGAAGGAGTTGAAATCTTAGTTTCTTTCATTTACCTAATAAATTTCATTCGTCCGGAGCGCCTTTTTGGATTTACCTCCATCAGGAATGCTCAAAGCAAAATATTTGAAAGCAATGGGGTATTTATAACTCTGTTGGAGCAGTTTTTGTGAAAGGGGCAAATTCCTGTCTGAATTGCGTGTACCTACACGAGTGTAACATATTGATAGAGGTATGTAAACGCCATTCAATTGGGCAAATTTCTTGATTTAAAATATTCTTTGGGTGTTTTAGATAAATTCTGTGCTTTAAATAGTCCTTTTCAAAATATATATTTCTCACACTCATGTAGACGAAACGCGCGTCTGGCGTACCAAATTATAAGCCTGGTATCTTTGATGAGTTTTAACAACCACTGAGGCGATGTCACTGCCAGTGGAAATCTCGTCAGCGAGGGTATCACTGGCACAGTAGTCATCACATTTTTATTGACGTCAAATTTGCTTATATATATTGATGTGTTCATTTAATGTAAATTCACTGTTTGTTATATTTTTGATTACACGAAGTACTTAGGGGTTTCTACCCCAGTCATAGATTGCCTTAGTCAAATTATAAGCCTGGTTTCTTTGATTTTTTTATGGTCCAGCATCCTGCCGATACGTTTTTTCTTTTGTTGACAACATATGTGTTACCTTTGGTGGATGTGTTTATAAAGAGACAGTCGTCGATCCTTTCGCGAGGACCAACTGTGCTCCTCTTTCAATAACATATTTCTTTCTTTTTATGGAGCATACTTCACAATTCTAATATATCCATGCGACTTAGCAAAACCCTAAACCTATAAAATTACAAGAAATAACTCAGGGGCGTTTCTGTGATATTTTAAAGAGGGGGCGTAGAATCAAATCTTTCGTCGAGCGGAGGGAGGCGAAAAAATTTTTTTGACCTTTTTTTTTGCTAAAAAAAACATAAAATAATTGAGAAATGCACTAATGTAACGGTTCCTGACTTGGAGCATGTATGTTTTATAGTTATATATAAAGTGTCAGGGTTTGATATTTTTTATGCCGAATTCTCTCCATTAATTGTCTATGGTATATTAAAATGATTGGATGGATCTTAACAGCAGTAGACCAATAACGAGAAATTCCAAATTCTAGGGTATAAGGCGTTACTTAACATTTCAATAGTCCTAGGCCAGGATTTTATGAACGGGAGGCGAAATTACTGTTGCCCTGGTAGAGGGTCCATGTGGAAGTTCAGAAGCTCCTGGATTTCAACAATTTAGCATCAAATTATGGAGTAGCCAGACTGATAAATATCTCTCTATCTTAGATTAAGTTCTTGTTTCGTTGAACGACACACATATGATACAAGACAAACAAACACTGAAGTATAAATTTCTTTTGTTCGAAATATTGTAGGCTTTAACGTGGAATACATGATTGAATATGAAAAAATTGACGTCATTGTACTACAGTACTAAATTAAAGCAATCATGTCACTGTCTTGTTCCGATAAGTGGTATATGGTATATAAATAAATATAGTGCTTGAACTTCATGGCAAAATGTAGGTCAATGTCACTTAGTTACTCTCTAATGGATATTGAAACAATATGATACTACCAAAGGCTATCCAGATGGGAAGTAAAAATGCTATACCAAATATACATGTTACTAGTATAAATGTACCTTAATGCAAAACCTAAAATGAACACAGAAATACTGACGGACTCTAATTTTCAATGAATGGTAAGACTAGAGTGGATTCTTTAGAACCATTTTCAGAGTATGTGTTTAATT